TTTATTGGTTTGATTTGGTGTAACATTTTATGTAGATCACAAATATTAAACCAATTAAAACAAACTTCCATCATGCTAGGTATATGTGCGTCAATTTTATATAAATTTCATATGGTCAAATGAGGTGCGTCGATTGACTCATTCCAAATTTGGACTAAACCCGGGTACATTTAAGCACAATGCTAATTCAGTGCCAATATCTAAATTATTCTTATTTTAGAAAGAAAATGTAAATATCTGGGTTAGACACGTTTCAAGTTTTTTTTCAATATACTCTTAATTTCTTTCTTTAATTAAACGTTAATAGTAGTAGGTTTTTAATATATTTTTATAACACTTTCCTGATAAAATTATATAAACTAGAATTGAGAATAAGAAATGTCATACAAATATGGAAAAAAAGCGACAGGAAGATGTACCTAAAGAACCAATTCCTGAAGTTGCAACAAGTTATACACAAAGCGGAAATCCTACAGCAACCATAACGGAAACAAGCACTATAACAACAGCCATTACAACAACTATTGTAAATGATGCGGTAATGAATGCTTCTGATACTTCTAATACTTCTTTGGCGGGCTCAAATAATATTTTATTGGCTGCTTTATTAGGTACTATTGGACTAATAATTATCTTAAGTGGGTTATTAATTATCATAATTTGGCTAAGAAGAGGAGAGAAAACTAAAGGAGGAATTGAAAACAGAGGGTTAACTCAACTAAACGATGACGGAAACACTAGCGTTTCAATGAATGACATGAATAGGCCAAGAGATCCAGATGATGAACAATTACCCAGTTATGCTGAAGCTGTAGTTAGAGGCAGAAGTAGTGCTATAATAACTTGAATTTAAAAAAGGCTTTTATTCCAAAAAAAAAAATAATAACAAAATAAGGCGGAACGACATTAAATAATCAAACCATACAAATTCATTAAAACTATCATTACTTGTTATAATTTGTATTTGAAATTTTTGTAGTAACAAAAAAAATTTCTATTCAATTATAATCTAAATTATAATCTAATAATATATACACTAGTTATTAACATCACTAATAATTAGACAATCACTTTCATCATTAATTTACCCTACGATTGGGCAAAAGAGTACCCTGGGGTAAAGTGAAAACTCTTGCATGATTCACTTAAATAAAATAATCTTTATTTGTCCATTTTCTAATAACGATTTCCTTGTCCTCTTGGACATCTATTTGCAAAATGTCCTTTGTCTCCACACTGAGAAAAAGTTTTCAAAATATAATTAGTAAAAGGTTACTTATAAATTTATTAACTTAATTTGTTCTTAACATACCTTAAAACAAGTTACTTCAGACAGTGATCGATAATTGTGGTGTTGTTGATGTTGGTGTTGATGTTGCTGATGCTGGTGCTGGTGCTGGTGCTGATGTTGTTGATGCTGTTGTTGATGCTGTTGCTGCAACTGTTGTGAATGTTGTTGTTGTAGTTGTTGTAATGGCGGTGTTTGTTGATGTTGTTGTCCCCCTCTTTGATGATGCTTTATCAATAAAGAAAAAGTAATTTCATGACATTAATTTTGTTAAATGCATTAGATGTATTAATAATAACATTTCATTTAGAAAAGTATGTGTTACTTCTTCATTTTCCATTGAATGCTTTTGAGTTCCGTCATCCTCAGGTCCATCATGATCACGTTGGACAGTGGGCAATTCATACTTTGGGCTAATAAAGAGATTGAAGAGCAAATTTAGATTCACAAAAAAAAACCCCCGATGGTTTTTGAATTTGAATTCAACTTACTGTCCATTGGGGCAATCTGATCCTTTTGGACAAAACCCACTCAAGTACAATTGACATACAACTTTTCGTACATGTTTGTGTCTGCAATGTGGTCCTAAAGATAAATAAATAAAAGAAAAAAATTTAATTTATAAAATATATATAACTATATATGTGAACAAATTAGGATCATAATTTTACCATGTTTACAGAATCCTCTCGCGTACCAAGCACATTCTTTTATTTTACTTTCCGGATCGATATGTAGGTACATACAATCCTCATTACTACATTCACCATATCTAGAATAAAACCAACACTCGGGCATTTTTCTCATATTAAATTCATGCAAAAATTCACATTGGTCCCCCTTTTTACAAAGTCCACGTAACCAATGTTTGCATACTACGGCTTTTTCACGAAAATTTGTAGTATGCTTGAATTCACATTTCATGCCTTTCGTACATGTTCCTCGTAAAAAGTCTTGACAAATTTGATCTAATATTTTACAAAGCAAAGATATTCTTTAAATATTAATTTTTATGAAATATATAATAGATAATATCTTATTACCTGAGTCACTGTTAATGCCTAAACCTATTTCTGTTTTAATGAAATCTTCAAAATCAAAAGAATAATTTTTATTATTCGTATGGAAAAAATCGGTGTCAGGCATGTTTTAAAGTTGAAAAATAAAACAAACTTTATTAAATTTATTTGTGCTTTTGAATATACAATTTCGATAAATCTTTAATTCTACAATAAACCAAATTTTTTTTTAAAACAAAATATATTTTTTTTTTATTATTAAAAATATTCGAAAAATCAAATCTTCAAAAAGTGGTATTTTTTTTTTTTTCAAATCGTAGTATCTATACTTATTTAACAATCGAACACTTTTAGGAAAGCTTTTTTTATTTAACAATAAAGTGGTATATATATGTAAATATTATTATGCGATGTGATATGCAGTGTGACGATCCCGGTTGAAAACTAATTGGGCGAAGGAAATTACTATATGCTATTTTTTTTGGAGTTTCCTCAATTATTTAAAATCACGTTTAAATTAATATAATTGATTATGTCAAGCTTGCATTTTTTACAAAGTGAAAATTACCATTAATCACTAAAACATACTATCGTTGATCGATCAGAAAATCAAGTTGTTCAGTCATGAGATAAAGTAAAACATATGATTTGGAATGTGATTTTCTCCTAAAAACATCTTTTTAATCAGGGAATTCGCTCATAAAATTTTATTTGTGTGAATGATCCTAAAATCCTCAGCAAGTTTCGTCATAAATTGAAAATGATAATTGGAATAAGACTGCCTCAACCAGCAAATTTTAAATCCATAAAAGGGATTCGCCTAAATCATATGATTGTGCCAAATTTTTCAACCAAAGGCCAACATTTCATTGTATTTCGCTTCACCGGGATCATCTTTTAAGTTTAATTGTTGTTCTTTGATTTTATATGTACTGTATCTCGTGAAGTCTTTCTTCCTTTGTAGTGGTTTTACTCCAAGCGGTTTGATCTTATACAGTATATAAGATTATATGTCCAATTAGATAATGTCCAATTGAAGCAAATGCTCTAATTAATTAAATCTTCATCTTTCTTCATAATCTCATATGAATCATACCACGTCGATCCACTGTTTATCATATTTTTAAATTACGCCAACCTCCAATTAAAGCACATAAATAACATCAAGAATGTGGCAGAGAAAAAGGAAGCAAACAGTTCAACTTGTTACGTATCACGTGCCTTATCATATGGGCCGATTCTCATTAGAAAGAAGGCGAAAAAATATTAGGAAGCAATCTGGAAAATTCGCACGGTTATAAACGTATGTAAATTTTTTTTTTTTTGTTTTCCTGTTTGCTCTGCGTTTCTCGTGTTTCATGCACCTTTGAACAATTTTATTTCTTTCTTTCATTTCAAATAATGAGTGTCTTAACGGAAGGCTCGGAGGAAATGTTCGTTCAAGTGACACGGGTATTTATTTGATACATGAGACTGTTTTAAGCAAGAAATATTACTAACGACTACAATAGATCTGCACGAAGATTGATGAGATATTAACGCAAAATCGAAATCAACCCGTTGTCAAGATAAGTATTCCTGAACTAGATAATGTTGACGTACGTGTATTAGAAGCGATATGTGATCAATACAAAACTGAAATACTTGAAAACGAAATGTTCATCAAAGTAAGTTTATTTCGAGTTTATTTCGACTCTATTTCGAGCTACATATATCATTTATTTAAATCTGACTAATTTTTTTATTAGTACGATGGGGGGAATAAAGAAGCTATTCAATTCAGACTTTGTAATTCAGCGATTGCACACAAACCAAATTTGTGGGTGACACCAAACCAAATGTGTAGTCTTGCGGAACATGACGCTCGACCTGATGCAGGTGTTTGGTTTGTACGGCCAACATATTTACAACGACAAAGACAACTTCTTAACCCATGCCCGCCAGCAGATGTATGGATAGAGGTAATTAGTAATTTATTAAATTCTTGTAGAAAATTGTAAATGATTTTTGCGCATCATTTGAATCCTTGACAGTTGTTTTTTAATAGACCCCGATCGTGCAAATGCATTACGTAAACTTGGCTGGATACAACAAAAAAATCTTGCGATAGAGTATGTTGGAATCGCAATGCCTAATTCAAATAGCCCTTACCACCAGAATCCAAACCTTGGAATACCTTCGATTCCTGCAACTCCTGCAATTCCAAATGCCAGACCTTCTTGAGCACCATATTTTGTCTATTGGGATGGTAACATTGTGACTTACTATAGAGTAAACTGGAACCAACATTTGGTACTTCAATGTGGGTGGACTCTCGAATTTAATGATGTATTTGAAGTGCTTTCTTTGCCTTAGATGAAATTAGTTGTATATGATATATCATAGTTGTTTTATTTACACAATAGATGATGATAAAAAATAGTCAATTATGTATTGCAAATTATAAAATTATACAAATTATACAAATAAAAATGCTTTGCAAGTTATACAAATAAAGATTAATATATATTTGAACTGAAATTACATGCCCTTTCTATTCTTTTCTCAATAGTATTTGTTAAGAGTTCACTTGGAAGCTATTTTGTAACTTCTTTGATGAGTATTCTCTGATCCTTACGTTCTCTATAAAGACTTTTGAATCTGTACTATTAAATCATTCTAATATTTTCTCAAAATCAGAAATTGTGTAAAAAGCTTTGAGTTAAAAATCTTTTTACCTATAAAATCTATTAAAATATTTTTTTTACAATCTGAAAGAGAATGTAATACTAGGATTATTCTAAGCTTTTATAAAGGATATTATGTTAAATATGTTTACTAATTTTAAAAATATTTATTAAGCCTTTCATTTTTATTAGAGATTATATTTTTATATGCTAAAGAATAAAATTCATAATATCAGGATTAATTGTATTCACTGATTAGGCTTTAAATCCTAAAAATAGATTAAAGAATTTTGTATTAAACACTAATATATTTAGTAAATATGAAAGAAAATCAATATTGTAATAAAGAATTAAACCTTTGATAACTACTTATTCTATTAAATTAATTAACTTTATTGCTTCATTCACTAATTTAACTATACTAATTTCATACTTGACTAGATTTAATTTTGATGTTATGTTAAAGAAAAGTCTGCTATCTATATTTTTTATTTTAAGTTACTATAATTTTAAAATTATTTAAATATAATTAATTATTACTTAAATTGCTTCATAAATTTTATTGAAAAGAAATTTTTATTCAGAAATACACATATTAATTAGATCTTCCTATATGAAATTATTATTTAATTTGATATTTTGAATTTATTAATTTTTACTAGACTTGAAAGTTTTTATTCTCTATTTAAAACTATTTCACTAATAATAAGCTTTAACAAACTTTCTTAATCTAGATAACTAATTTTAATTTATATAATAGTAAAAAAAGTTGTAAGATTTTATTTTGAATCATATATGTATGATAATAGAAATTTATCAAAAAAGTTTTCTGACAGATATGAAACATTATATCTTTTAATACTAGTTTCTTGAAGTAATATCTTTATTAATCAAATTTAGCATTGATAATATTATTATTTAAGCTTAAATATCTTACTACTTCTAACTCTAGAATAGTTAAAATAGAATTATTAATGACTAGTAATTGATTATTAGACAAATGGATTATAAAGTCAAGACAGATCAATTTTTTAGATGTATATCTTTTTTATTTATATGTGAGAGTTAGTTTTCTCATTCAACTTAGAAGTTTTAACCATTTGTAATAAGAATAATCATTTGTTTGCTATATTATCATAATACTATTTTTTGAAAAGACACTAAAAGTTTTTACAAATATTCTCAGTAAATACTATAACTTAAGTAATATTTAAAAGTCTTATATTAAAGATTGAAATATGATAAGAAATTTTTTGTATTACTACTACTAACTATAGTTATAATTTTATGATTCTACTCTAAAAATATTTTTAAACACATTTCTTAAAAATATGAACAAGTAAATCTTATATCTCATTGTCTATTAGTTTAAGTTTAATAAATCATATATCTTTTATAATAAATTAAAATCTATGACAAAATGAAATAGCTTATTATTATCAATAAATTTATATAATTAATAATCTTTATAATCAAAGAGTATAGTTTCTATTTTGTTTTTATTACTAAGAAATGATTTTAATTTAATACTATTATCATAAATTTTATATAGATATTGACCTATATTAAAAATTTTAAATCAAAATAATATAAAATGTAAAAAGTTCTAAAAGATCTGATTGTATCATTTGTTAAAAAGGTAATTTCTAATTTTATCAATTCTAGAGAAAATATTTAAAATAAAAATAATTTTCTGTGATTATTAATTAATATATTATAATATAAATAAGTTGCAAAAATGAAGATTATGTGACAAAGTAAAAATAACTTGTAAAAAAATTGTA